CAGAAGCAATCAATTGTAGTATTAAAACAACTAAAAACAGATTCACAACTAAAAAAAATAAAAATAATATAATATGTGTGTGTTGAGGTTTTTAAAAATAAATATTTATTTAAATTAAATACCATATTTTAAAAACGTATTTATTCAGACTGTTCTTCTCTCAAAATATTTATTTTGTATTGTATATATATATATACACATATATATACATACACACACACATATATATATATATATATATATAGTATTTATTTAGTCATTTATTAGACACTTTTATCCAAAGCGACTTACAAATGAGGACAACAGAAGCAATCAATTGTAGTATTAAAATAACTAAAAACAGATTCACAACTAAAAAAAATAAAAATAATATAATATGTGTGTTGAGGTTTTTAAAAATAAATATTTATTTAAATTAAATACCATATTTTAAAAACGTATTTATTCAGACTGTTCTTCTCTCAAAATATTTATTTTGTATTGTATTGTATTACAATTAATAAAACAAATGTTAGGAGTTCCCATGAGATACAGTTTCGTCTTTTATTGTGGGGGTCGTTTTCATGGTGACAGATCTACAGCGCCTTTTAACCCACTCAAAACTACAAAACCAAGCTGCCCACCAAACCCACCTGCATGTGCAGTCTCGAGGCCTACATTAATCCTCCTGTGAATAGCTGTGGGGTCAGCTGGAGCCCTTTGCACTGATATAAGAGCAGAATAACTCAGCCCTTGACCTTCATAAGTGCAGACATGATATTTGAACGGTATAATAATAATGCATTGTCAACCGACATGGAATGATACGATGTGTTTGCGCGTGACAGACTCACAAGGATGTGGCTGTCGCAGTCTCTTGGCAGGATTCTTTCTCTAGTGAGTCTGTGCCACAGAAGAGGAAAGAAATGTCACACACCCTCAGGCCCTGTCAATACCAACGCGAATACTTGGCGCCAAGAATTTGAATAGAAACCTGTGGAGCTACTCGCATTCGACCCGAACATTTCCCGCCAACAAAGCGAAGATATTTTTCATCGGCGAGTGTGTCGATTTGTGTTCGTTCGGCTGAGAGCGCGCTGACCAATAAGATTTGAGTTGTGGGTCACGTGTCTGGAGATATATTTGGTGTTTAGTGGCGCTAAAACACTGATGGTTCGTTCAAATCATGTAGGAAAGTTTAGGAGTTGAACGCTTCTTGCAACGATTTGGAACGCCGCAGGTCAACGCGAAAACATGTCGCATGCAATGGTGCAGTGATGCTAATTTGTTGAAATTGATGTATTTTTTCTTCACAATAAAGCAAAATAAAAATATGGAGGGCTAAATTACTCAAAATTAAATATATATATATATTTACGCATTTCTGCATTTATTTATGTATTTATTTCATTATGTATTTAACGATTTATTTATATATTTCAACAATTATTTAATTTGGAGTAATTTGGCCCTCCATATAAAAAGTTATTATATAATAATGATAAAATATAGGCCTATAACGGTTAAAAAAGTAAAAACAAACTGATGCACATTCTTTATGCATCATTTTGTGGATTTATTAATGCACTGGGAAGTTCGCATCAATAAAATGATGCATCATCACACTATCTGAATGCATTTATTTGTTTTATCTTTTTCTTTTGTTCTTTGATTTACATCAATGACAGACTTCAGCAGGTTTTACTTTAAAATCAGCGCCGTCTCTTTAAAACCTGATGCACATGAATGCGAATCTGACATTTCCCATTTTCTCCAAACTCTTTATGGTCATTTAAGACTTTATAACTCATTTAAAAGACTACGTTTACGAGGTAACTCGCCAAAACCGTGAATTTTGACATAATTGTGCGCTGGCAATGTTAGAACTTGGCTCAATACATTTCAGATTGTATTGTATCAGAAAAAAGCTGATAAATAAGAACTAAAACTGCAAAAGGATCAATGCGTACACGTGGATAGAAAGCACAATTAAAAGAGTAAAAACTACCAGAATGTGTATGTTGTGCGTGTATGCAACTTGGAAATAAATCCCAAGAGATACAGAAAGCACAATATATTTTTATTGAATTTATTGTCATGACGTTTTACGCAGGGTTTTTTCTATAGATATATTGGAGTTTAGCAGTGCCAAAATATAAACACCCATTTTCTTTTCTTTCTTTTTTTTCTCATTATCTCCTTAACATTGAATTAATTCCTGATTTTTTTTCATTGTAACATATAAAAGTCAACCAAAAAAACTACAGTCCGACAACAAGATTCCTGTGCCCATCAATATTAATTACAGGTAATACTTTTTAAGGACCTGCCTTGACTGTGTGTTTTCTTTTCTTTTCCTAACAACAGAAAACGAGAGTAATAAATTCTTGACTAAATTACAATTGTTAATATCCATGGGCACAAGGAACACCTTGAACAGAAGGCAAAGGGGACTGCATATAGTGCTGCAAGACTGGCCAGTTGTTCCTGTAGATCTTCTTGCTTGGTTGCTAACTAATAAACTCTTTCCCCTTTGCTCTGTGGAGATTTTAAAAACTTTGAATGTTTTTGTCCACAAGAACCAAAGCAACACCAATCTCTGATGGGTATTAGGAATGTAGACAAGGATCCTCAGAACTAAAACAAAAAATATAAAAACAGTCAAATTTTAAAAAAAATGACATTTTCCACTCATTTAAACGTGTGATATAAATGCAACATCTCAATCATACATTCTTAAGGAATTCCTCTGCGACGATTCGGGCCCGAGCGTTGACTGACAGCTTCATCTCGCTGATCTCCTTGTCGATCTCCTCCATGAAATGGATAACAAAGTCCACCAGCTTGTGTTTGTACATCTGTTCTGTGTGGAAGTTGGTAATGAGGAAGCTGATGTCATAGCCCTGAAAAGCACAAATGAGGAAATGAGAAAAAAAACATGTTAATCTTGTTAACATTTTAGATCAGGGGTGTCCAACCCTGCTCCTGGAGAGCTACCGTCCTGCAGATTTTAGTTCCAACCCTGCTCCAGCACACCTGTCTGTAATTATCAAGCAACCCGGAACACCTCGATTAGCTGGTTCAGGTGTGTTTGATTGGGGTTAGAGCTGAAATCTGCAGGATGGTAGCTCTCCAGGAGCAGGGTTGGACACCCCTAGTTTAGATGCTTCACATGCACAACATCATTCAGCGATGCATTTCAAGTCGTAAGATTTATCCCACATAAACATGCATTTTTTTTCTCTTACTCCTACATAACTCCACCCAAAAAACGTGACATGCATGCTAGTGATGGGTGCTTTCGAAAACCTTTGAAACTTTTGCAAATCATTTTTTTTTTATTTGAACAAGTGAAGCATGCACCAAACTGCCAAAGTCGCATGATTTCAGTACATGAGGCTTTGTTACATCATGACTGTAATTTGTATGACACATTTGTATAATAAAAAGGAAGAGTTGTAGTGATCAGTCTCCAATTAGCCTAATTAACCAAGCTCTCAATAAAACAAACAAAACAAGCACTACAAATGAATAAAATAACACATTACACAGACCCTTATTATTTAATGGTATTAGATAATTTGTTAATTGCATTTAGATGATTACACTTTTAATAAAACATTTGTATTTGGTTCGTAAAAGGTATGTTCTGGTTGTGTTTCCATTGGCATTTACACTATTCTGACCAGCGTGTGGTGTTTCAAATGTGAATCATTTCGCAAAGCAATTGGTTCAATTGATTTACAGTTTTGGAAAAACTTTGTTTCTCCCATCACTAATGCACGCGTGTTTTAATGAATCACATATTTCTTCATCCCTTGTTTGTTCTTCACAAAGGAGCCCACCTCAACAGGTTTCCTCCGAAGGATGAAGAAGTTCTCTGCTCGCATCATCATGAACCTCATAAATTTATGGCACAGGATCTTCTCAATCTCATCAGCCTAAGAAAACCATTCATATCTTTAGAAGACGGCCTAATGAAAAACGCATCGATCTTGTGCAGTTCATCTTGAATTTCTTACCTGTTTGACAGCGATGCTGACCCTCACTGAGTTTATGGACCCCTCAATCATGACCTTCTCCTTCTCATTGCGGCTTATGACCACAGGCTGCAACAGAAGCTCTTTGCTGCTCCTGTATTGAAAGACAAACGTTGATCATATATGTATATAGCTATTAAAATACATCATATATAACACATATGAAGGATGTGATTTCCTCACCTAACTTCCACCTCAGGCTTGTTGTGTCTCTCCACCACCTGAGAGGAGAAGTTCTCCAGACACAGGGCTGCTTGAAGAGTGGCGCGCACTGCATTCAGGTAGGGTCGCAATGTTGCCGTCTACATACAAAAAAGGAGAACATTTAATTAAGTAACTCTTCATTCTATAAGCTAACAGACAATATAATAACCAGTGTTGGGGAAAGTTACTTTTAAAAGTAATGCATTACAATATTGCGTTACTCCATAAAAAAGTAACTAATTACGTTACTTAGTTACTTTTTATGGAAAGTAATGCGTTACGTTACTTTTGCGTTACTTTTTAAATCTGGACAGGGCTTGCTTGTTTTTAAAATAAAAAAAGTTCTATTTTTGGCCTTTTCGCACCAGAAGTGAAATGAATAAGCCTCCGGCTGAAGGGAAAGTACATTTACGTCCGTACAGTAGAATGCAGAAGAAGACATTTCAACACACTTCAGCAATAAAAAGAGACACAAATGTTTGTCTAGAGTAATTTTTGCTTATTAGTACGGTTGAACTGGATCATCGAAGGTCAGAAGCAAAGACATTGGTTAATAGAATGGGATTAAATACATAAAGGATATTTGTGTTGTTTAACATTTAATTATTGCAGGTTTGC